TGGAGATTGAAAAAAAAAATTATGATACTGAGGAAGCCTGTTGGAAGTATCTGAGAACCAAAGCTGCTCCCCTGTCGGTCAGAGTCCCTCTCACACAAAGCTGGTTTGCTAATTTGCCCATCCTCTGGAACCACATACAGAATCATAAAAGGATGCCCCCATTCACAGTGAATAAGAGAGTCACATGGAGCAAAGATAACAGAAGCATTAAGGGAACACATACACAGCTGATGAGAAGAAGGGATGCTTCAGAAACTCAGGCAATAGCAATACAGCAAGCAAAGCCTGGAATGTTGATTTGACAATGATCATTGTCATTCCCCTTTGCAGTGTGTGCAATGGGATCAGAAAAACAGAGGGAGCTGAATTCATCCTACAGCAAACTGTGCTGACATAAGTCACTTTGCATCCTACAGATTTGGCTTTAATTTTGAGTTGACCTCATTAGTACAAAGTATTCTTCAAGACTGATGCTGAATTAGAAACTGCTTTGAATATTTCTAGAGACTAACACAATACACTATAATTAAAGACATTATAATCAGTACTTGATTTCTTTTGCTTTGACTTCACTTTGCCTTATTTATTTATTTATTCATTCACTTTGGAAAGGTCTGAAAGTCAAATTCAATTTTGTCATTTGCTTATGCTGGGAGCTGCACTGTTCTTCTGGAAATGGCATGGAAGTGCTGGTAATGAGATGTCAAAACCATCAAGCAATATTTACAATTTAAGGGCCAGTTCAAATATAAAAGCAGTTTGTATTTCTCCACCACAGGCACATCTGCAAAATCTTTGGGGAACATAGAAATCTGTTTTCTCCTTATTGGCTTGGCCTTTCATTACTAACAAGTCAGAAAGAATGGCAGGCGTTCTTCAAAGAGTAAAAGAAATGTAAAAAGTAAATAGAGAAGTGAGTGACTTTTGTTTGTTTAATTTTGTATTTTTAAACACGGCTCAGGTGTAGAAGTGAAAGAACTCTTAGAAAGGCACTGTTTACTCAGACAATTGCAGCTCTGTTTACTTAAACCATGGTCATGATGTCTGAAGTTGAGCCAACCCATTCCAGTGTATGTTAACAATGGCCCAGGAATGCCTCTGTGAACCACAGGCAGAGAACCACAGTGGGTCCTGGCAACCCTCTAAAAATCCACCTAGAGACCACTCTGTGAGAGACACTGAAGCATCATGCTGACTAGCCAGGTAATGGTTTCTCTTTGGTGACTGAGGAAGCTCACATTCATAGATGTCTGGAAATCACAATTTCAAGTACACCCTCTAGCTTCAAGTGTCTCAAGTGTCCAGCTTAAAGTGGATCTACCAGATGGATCTACCAGGACAGACTCGGGCATCACTCTGTCTGAAGTCAGTGGCAACTGCAGCTATGAGCACATTTGAAATAATTACTCTGAGTCAATAAATCTTATAGTATTTACTTGAAGTCAAGAAGAGGGGCTAAAAGTGCCCCAGAAAAAACTATTTGTACTTATCTAGGTAGTGACAAGAATGGAGGAAGCATCTAGAAAAGGCTACGAGTATACAGACCACAGAGGAAGAAGGTCACCTCTGAAGTTCCCCAAGCCCTTTAGGGGCCTCAAAGGAAATGTCTTGACTTCTCCTCCCAACTTTCCTTCCCCTTCCTCATCAGCATCTATTCTTAGCAGCTTTGTTTGAGAGCTGGGAATAGAACTTGGTTTCTTAATTCCTCACCTCCTGTTACCTCATATTTTGTCTCAGCGTGCTCAGGGTGGTGACGGAGGTTCAAACCTTGCATGGAGCTGTTTATGTTTACACAGTGACTGCTTTCCCATTAAGTAGGGTTTCTTTGGCTACTGGGACATGCTATAGGCATGAAATCAGTCCTGTTTGGTTCTAATGATTTAATTCCTTCAAACAACATTACAAAGTCCTGAAAGTGCCATGCCTTGCCCAGATCCTAAATGTTGTATTCAGCAGTGAGCACTTGGTGCCAAAGATTTACCCATTTTCATGGGTCACAAGTTCTGTTGTTGGCACAAAACATGAAAACGACACCAGAACGTACTGCTTTTTCTTCCTCCCTGCTGCATTCAGCAGGACCACTTAATTACACTTTAAGATGGAACTGGCTCAAAAGTTGGGCAGCCTGCAGGGCTGCTGGCCAGGAAGCTGCACCTGCACTGCTGCCAGCAGGCAGCCAGAGAAGACGACACCCAGGCCCCAGCTCTGCTGTTGGGAGTGACTTCCCACGCCAAAAACAAGTAGAAAACACTGTCTTTCTTCTTCCTTAGTCCCATTACTCCTTACTCCATCTACCCCATATAATCATTATGACATCTGAGTGCCTTTGTGTGTCAGCTTCCTGTGAAGTAATCACCTAAATCCCTCTCTGAAACAAAGCAGACCCTGCTGAGGAACTCACAATAGGTGCCTTTCACTGGCAGGACAACCTTGGCCTCAGTGGCATTTATAACAAAGCTTCCATATGTGCACCAGTATGGGCTGATCAGTCAGATCAACACCACACAAGATCAGAGCCTGGGTATTTGTGAGCATGAAGCAATAATACCTCACCAAATTTCTCCATCTTCCTGAAAAAATAGTTTCTGGTGGGTTTTTTGTTTATTTGTTTCTTAAATATGCTATAGCACATTAATCTGCCACAGACTTTTATCTACATTTATGAGTCTGTTTAAGGAGATAAAAAAAGAAGCACCAGCTCCAAGGGGTGATGTCTGTCTGTCATCCCCACTTTCAGAGACTGCCTGGCCATTGTCTGCTCTTCAAGCCCAGGCTAGGACTACCTTTTAATATTTCCTTTGGCTGATATCCTGGGTTTTCCTCCTCCCTGGGGGAGGGATCAAGGGCAATAAATTCTATTCTAATAGAAGACAAGTCAGTGATAATCTCTGGGCATCTGCAGTGAAGAGGTATTTCTACAGCTCTAGCTGGGATTAGGCACATAATGGATCAATGAAAGATCCCACCGTTTGACGGTTATAGCATCATTCATTAGTGTTAAGATTTGAACCTGAATCAACAATTGAGTTAGAAGATTGAAAGAATTGCTTTCAGTATTTGAAATAAATTGTAACAGCCCTGTAAAAGTCCCCTGAGGTGTCTCTATTTCTCTCTCTATACATATATATAGAGAGATCAGTTTTGCTGAACACTTAAAATTAGATGAAAGTTGCTGAGCTTCTACATAGGAAGAAGAAAAAGCTGAGCTTCTTATGTAAAGTGAAAGGGGGCAAAATAATGTATTTTTGGTTTGCCTATCAAAGCACTTCAGGAGCAGTCTTGATCACAGGATTCAGGCACTGACTTGTTACTCAGTCACTTACCATCTCTCATATATAACAATTCATGAACAGCTAATAATAAACAATACGCCCCCTTCTTATACACAACATGCAAACACACACACAGGAGCTCCTTGTAAATGAGCAACACTGATCCCATCCACTTTTTCTTGTCACAAAACTAGGACAAGTTCATTTTTAATTAACCGCTTAGTGTAGAGACCACTTAAAAAAAAATTAACTACCCAGAGGACTTAGACACCAAGTTTTCACTCTCAGCTCCTTATAATTTCTGGAACAAAGACCCATCCACCCACTACTAATTTGGTAAGAAATTAAATGTGATAAAAAAGCAGTTCCACAACTGGGTGATAAATGTTATGGGGTAGTTAATGATTAATTACCATTATAATACAAAACAGCCTGGTTTCACTGTAGAAACTTGATTTCGTAGCATTATTTTTCCATAAAGACAATCTTCAGGTTGGTGCAAGGACTATGTAATGCATCAGTGCCAGAAAGTTTCCTCCTTGTTTCTGAAAAGTAGAAGCAACTATAAAATGCTTGGAGATCTTGAGGCAGACCTCTGTCCTGCAGCCCAGCCTGGGCAATGGAGCTATGGTGGGGTGGCTGCACTGTCCTCCCCTCTGAGGCCAGTATATTTTGGTGCTTGCTCACCCTCTATATTACCTGAGTGCTAACCAGCCCTATGTTATTCCCATTGTCCCTTAGTTTTGTAGGCATAAACCCCAAGGCCAGCTAACTTGGACCTGTATCCCTCTCTCAGAGCAGTTGCCAGGCAGGTTTGGGCAGAGGATGGTGTCCAACCTGTTGGGTCGTCAGGATAAAGTTTAACTGCCTACTACAGATTGAACAACCTGTTCCTGTGATTGTTTTCTAGCTATATAAAATCAACACAGCTCTTCCTGTTGGCTTACAGAAAAAAAAAAACAATTAAGCAATATCCAGATTTTTATGAAGTAGATGCCTACATAATTAGTGGCAGCACAAATATATGCCAAGCCAGCAGACACTGAATGAAGAAAGATCATAACTAGGGGAGCCACATCAGAACATAATTAGCACAGAAAGCTATTAAAGAAATTATTTAAATTATGACCAAAATACTAGAAAAAATTCTCTGATTCCTTGTCTGTATTTATCACACAGGTCAGTTTTGAAATTGCAATTGCCAGTGAGAGAGCTCCCTGAATCATTTACTAAGTATAAATAATTTAAAACCAGTCAAAAAGCAATGCAGTCAAACATTCTGCCTGTCGCCCTGCTATTACTATTGAAACCGAACTCAGATGCTGATGTTAAGTTTGTTGACACTGAGAAAATCGGAAAGAGTGAACATTCCAAAGCCTGTATCCGTGTCCTCCCTGACTGCCTGTGCTATTAGTTTGAGGATAGTTGTTTACTTCTGATAGGCATCAGCCACCTGCCAGAGCCACTTGGTAGAATATTGAGCTGCCAACCAAGCCAGCTGTGCATGGAATGACAGTAGCTCCACTTTTATATCCACAAGTCTGACTTGAGCAAGTTAAGGTTTGGAGAATGCAGTTTTTACAGTAGGGACTTTCTTAGTTGAGAGAAACCTCTCTTAGTTCTATAAAGCTCCATGTACACAGCCCTGTAAATAGCTATAAATAATAATCACATTAACAGAGTCATATCTAGTGATAGTAGAAAGGACATTTGCTTGAAAGTGCTCACCTGGGAGCTGCTGCTGGCTTCCAATACCTGCAGAAGAGATACTGCCCATCAGCATTGATGATATGGGGCAGATCCTTGTATGGGATGTTTTGAGGACTCCGCTTTGGCGAACTTTCCTCTGGCATTCTGGAAGAATGACCTGCAAGGTATTAGAAGAAACAAGACATACTTTAAAACAGGTGAAAACAAGATAAAAGCTGATGGGCTTGGCAGCCACAGACACTCAAGAAAGTCAATCAGTCAAGGCAAGTCCTCTCTCCACTGATGGGAAGCTGCTCCCAAAACAACAGCCAAAGAGCCCCCAAAATCTCTGCTTTAAAACAGAAATGTAGCAAATGTTTTTGTTCAGAAAAGGCTCACATTTAGAGGTAGAGCACTGGGGGAGGGAGAGAGCAAGAAGAAGGGAAGATCAATCCACCATCAGTACTTCATTTACAGCTTTCTATTCCGCACTTCTCCCATCTGAGTTTATTTTGCATCATTTTGTGAAGCAGATCCTAAAGAGAATATTTCAACTGCAATCAAGAGCAAATTATGCAGCAATCGCTACAGATACGAAAAGACAGCTGCATAAAAGATTTATCTCTGGCGGAACATCTCCACAGAACAGTGGAGGGTACACAGCAGAGGTATCTGCCACCGTGTCATCATTAAGATCTTCTCTGACATCTCAGACAGGAAGGTGGCGGCGGCGGCGGGGAGCAAAACATTTCCAAGAGAATTTGCCACAAACCTGTTTTCATCCTGTGCAAGCGTTTGCATTCTAGTGAGGAGCCGGCATCGCAAGTCAAACGCAAGCAGATGAGGCTTTTTGCATCTCGCTGCGGAGCCGCGTTCACAGCCCGGCAGCCCCGCGGCTCCCGGCGGGCGCCCGGCGGGTCCCTCCCGGCGCTGCGCGGGGCGAGCCCCGGCTCCTCTGGCCGGCTCGCTCTTTGAGGAAAGTCGCTTGGGTAATTCACCACTTCTCGTTCATCACTTTTTTTTTTTTCCTTCTCAAACAAATTGCGTGTGCGGGCTGAAGTGGCGGTGGTGGGAGGGGAGGCTGGGAAGGGTTGGGGAGAGGGAGGGCTGGCGGGTGGGAAAGCTGCAGTCCACTTTCCAGAAGCTGCTGCACGTACATCAAAGGCACCTTGAACACATGCAGCTGGAGCAGCTCACAAAGTTCCTGCCGCGGCAGGTTGTTTGCAACTTTACTTCCTTCCTGCCACTTACAGTTCGGAGGCCGCGGCGACGGGGGGAGGCGAGGGAGGGGGAGACCTTTCCTCAAAGCGATCCCCGCTGCGAAGCCATCTCTCGTGTAAGCGCAACTTCCCCAGCCCCGCGCTGCCAGGCGAGGAGCGGGAGGGAGGGGAGGAGGAGGAGGAGGAGGAGAGGGAGGAGGGAGGATCCAAGCACCGACGCGATGCCAGGTCGCCAGCCCCGCACACACATCCTCCGGCCGCGGCCGGGCGCGGCGGCTCCGCGACCGCCGGCGGAGCCGAAGCGCGGTGGCTCCACCGCACGGTGCGCACGGGCTGCTCCCGGAGACGGGGAGACAGCGGCGGAAGGGCGGTGGGTGGGTGGGTGGATGGATGGAGGATGCATGGATGCGCGGATGCGTGGATGGATGAAAGGATGGATGGAGGGGCGGGCGGTGCTGCCGCACCCTCGGCTGGGCTGGGCCGGACTGGGCGAGCAGCGGGGGAGCCCCGCGGTGCCCCCGGGCCGCCTGGCCGCGGGGAGGGCGGAGGCACGGCCGCCCCTTCCCCGGTGCCCTCCCGCGGGGGCTCCGCACCGGCTCCGCCGCCGCCCCGCTGGGGAGGCGGCCGCCGCGGCGGAGGGAGCGGCCGCAGCGACCCGCAGCCCCCGGCCCCGGGACCCGGGCACGGGAGCGGCCGCATTGCCCCCGCAGCCCCCGGCCCCGGGACCCGGGCACGGGAGCGGCCGCNCCCGCAGCCCCCGGCCCCGGGACCCGGGCACGGGAGCGGCCGCATTGCCCCCGCAGCCCCCGGCCCCGGGACCCGGGCACGGGAGCGGCCGCTCAGCTGCTGCGGGCTGGGGGACAGCGGAGACACCCCGGGGGCGGGAGCGGAGAATTTCGGAGAGAGGACATCGTGGAGCCGTGCTGCCTCCTGGGCACCCCGGTCCGAACAGCTCCTTGGGATCCCAACACCAAACTTGCTGTTTAATGTGCATCTCTTCAGGCTTTGAAGCCATACCGGGGTGATCACTCCGATACTAGCCCAGAGAAGTGCCCAAGCTTTGCAGCCTCATTCAGGGTAAAGGTCATTTATAAACACAGCATATGATTTATACTCACATAAATCACGATATCACTTTAGACTATATGCAATACATGTGCTGCTAACTCTGTAATGTGAGATCTATTTGGTGTATATGATACTTGCTTATAAAAATTGTCACAGCAAGGCTCCCTGAAGTCAAAATAGCTCCCCAGCTTTAAGGGGATCTATCCCAATAAAGAATTTTGTCATTTAATACTGCTAAGTGGTTAGCATTGATTGAGCACAGATTCATGCGTTTTACATTTCATCAGCTCCTTTCATTTTTACATGCCTACATATGCTTAGAGGTCTCAAGCCTTTCTAAGAAGAGGCAGCTATTAACCTTATTTTTGAAATGAAGGTACATGCTCATCAAGTGTAAATCTGTGAAGAAAGGTTGAGGAAAGGAAATAAATACATGCTAACACTAATAACAATAAATGCAAAGCCTCAGAGATGAACCGTACAAAAATAAAAAGGAAGTGAAAACCGGATTTTATTTTCTTCATCTTTCAGTGCCGTTTATATTAAGTGCCTGGGGGGTGTTAGTTATAAATGGCAAAAGCAAAATTACATGTTTTTCTGACTGCTGTTGTTTGGGAAAAAAATTGAACAAAACCAACATTTATGGTTGTTTGTAATGAGTGAGATTTAGGTCAGATGGCTCTTAAGCAGAGCCTGGGAGCTGTACCTGGAGCTGTACAATTTGCTAGGCCAGTTACTATCTAAGTATGAATGGGTGGAATTAAAGAGCTATCACAAGCCAGCTCCAGAGTTGGTGGAAGCAAGGACATATATAATTATTTAAATGATACAGATCAGATAATAACTGGATTAAGAAGAAAAGAAAGAAGGAAAGAAGCCTCTTCCCCTGCTCAGGGTTTATCTGCCAGGAACACTTTACTGCTTCCCTACAGCCATCCATGAAATCTGATGCCAGGAACAGGCTCCTGTCCTGCTGTGGTACTGGGAATATCTGAGTTCCCAGGGCCACAGAGGGGTGGAGGGAGTTGGGGAGAAAATATCTTTTTAAACTTCTGGATAAAAATAGCATCTCAAGGAAAACAACCTTTGCTGGGACACAAGGGTGAGATCCTGACTTTGAGAGCCTGCCCTGGTCAGCCCAGATATATGATTCCCTTGATAGCCTGTTAACCTCGGTGTAGCTAAAATTGGAGACAGCATAACTGTGGTGCAGCCTGCCCTCTCTGCAGGCCCAGCTCCTCACCACAGCACTGGAATGGAGAACCAACCAACAGCTCCTTCCCTTCTCACCAGCTTCCCTAAGACCCCAGGAATTCGAGGACATTTCTTCCCACGGGTGATACACGCTTCCCCATCTCAATGTTAACAACATGAAAATGAATGAGGAGCAACTGCTGACTTGTTGTTTTATTATTTTGCAGAGTTTAAGCTGTGAATGAAAAGCCACTGGAGAAAACTGGTCTGGGGAATTCACGTACCTGATAACCAGACTACACACCAGGCTTCAGCAGAGCAATTGCTGCATACTGGCTCCCTGTGAGAAATCAAAGGGCTGCCTGGGCAAGCAGTATTTATGAGATTGTAACATCCTCTCTTGTCTCGGTAGAGTGAAATGTGTTTCAGAAATAGAGTTTAGGCCAAATCAACTTCTAATAAAAAACAGATTCACACTTGGTGAATCTTTACACTAACTCAGCATTACTCAATCTTTGTAGGAAAGGATGTTTGGTTTATTAAAGGCTGAGCCCTGCTTAATTAAGTGTCTCCATTGACCCCCAAGGTATGCACAGGAATATAGAGAAAAGAGATACACTTTCAGATTAAGTAAATTTTAGGGAAAGGATCAATTGCTGGAATGACAGAGTAGATACATGCCATGCAACTTGATATCACAGCAGAGATAGTGAGGAGGAGAGGAGAGGAGAGGAGAGGAGAGGAGAGGAGAGGAGAGGAGA